CGTTTAGAATCCCTCGCGGCCGGTCCCCTTTTTGGTACCTTCGGGGACCCTCGGACCCTCTTGTTTAGGTGGGCGCTCCAGCTGAAGTCGCCGGCGCTTCTGCAACCAAGTGACTGGGTGTCTCCCCTGGTGGAAGCATTTCTGTTCACGCCTCGGAATCTGTCCCGTCCCTCCGACGCCTTTTCAGAGCTTCTCTTGCGGCTCTGCGCTTCTTTGCGCTGTTTCGGTTCTTCTGCTCCTTCCTTCCCTTGGCAGCCCGCTTAGCCTCTGGCCTTCTTGTGGCAGAGCTGTGTGTCCGCCTGGTGTCCACCCTCGTTCAGGAGCGTTGATTCCTGGTCAAACGTTATGTCCGACCTGTAAATCGTCGAGGGCGAGCTGATTGTGGGGTTAGGAGGACCCTTGGTTGTTGGTTGTGGTCTCAGGCAATTTAAAAACATTTTTCGCTTTTCTTTCTTCGTTCATATTTTTAGGGCATATATAAGGATAAGTAGCCGACAGGTAGGAAGCGCTGTAAATGACTGGGCTCTTAGTGACGCCAAGGCAGCATCCAAATGGTTGTTGTCAAGGAGTCATTGGGTCTTGAGAACTCTGGTTGAGGTCATGACAGGCGACTGTGATCTAAACAGACACCTTCACCTACTAGGAATTGGTGATAGTCCCGTGTGTCCACAATGTGAAATGGCGGAGGAAACATTATACCACATATTAGGAGTCTGCCATCGCTGGTGGTCTACTAAGAGGCGTCTTCTTGGGGTATCCACAACCTTCCTTGGAGTAGAGACGGATGCTTATCATTGTCAGGGAGACGGGACGTCTGGGTGGCAAAGAACAGGAGTCGTAAGATGGGGTGGATGGAGGAGAAACCGCAAATAGCCTTCGCGCGGAACCCATCGGGGATTTATTCTAAGAGGAGATTTTAATATTGATTTTTCTTCACATAGAAGGCAAAATTCAATGTCATTCTTGAATCAAAGCTACCACATACCTACTACTAAATAGCGTTTAATTTTCAGAAACTTGACATAACTTTTCGAAAATGCGTTTATTCAGAGGAACGTCGCCTTGGCTTGTTGGGACCCTACACGTATTCCAATTGCCTGACCTTATGCAAAGCCCATTTATCAGATGAAAAATGTAACTGCATCCCTTATTATTTTCAACTGTTCCTTAGTAAGTATCAAGGAATAAAGTAAATTAAATAAAACCCAGTTTTTAAGTAAATCTTAATTTTCCATTGCAGATAAACAAATTTGTACCTTTATGGATCAACAGTGTTTACAAAATAATGTCACTACTGGTAAGATAATTAAAAATCATTAAAAGGTACCTATTGAGTTTGTGGGTTTTTCGGTCAATATATGGTGGCAAAAAATGATACACTGTTTTTTATGAACCAAAGTTAGTGCCATATTTACATCAATTGCCTAACCACACAGACCCACCGACCTACGAGGGTAGATAAATAAATACCCGTGTTAGGAATGAAGAGGAAAGTTTTTCACAATTTTTTTTTCTATTTTTCAAAGTAATCTACTTTTAGTACAATACAATTTTCCCAACATACCTGAGAATCATAAATGGGAAGGGGGATCAAATGGCACATCGTTTTAAAGGGCGTTCAATTCTCTTTAAATTTGTTACTACTTTGTTGCTTTTTGTCCAGAGGTTTTTGAATAATCGCCTTTTAAGGATGCAGAAACAATTAAACTTGCCTGCATTGATCTTTTTGGTTTCCAGATTAGTATCACAATAAAACCTATGGGATCTACTTAAGCATTATCTTATAAGTTGTTGAAAATGTTGTCTATTTTCCTGTAAACAATAATAAAGTCTATTTTTGAACTCTCCCTAACATTGATAATATATTCCCGAATAGATTGATTTACAGTAGGGGACCAAGTAGATGACCTCCAAGATCACCAGATTGAACACCCTTAGACTTCTTTTTTTGAGGACATCTTAAGTCCATTATTTGTAAAACACAATCTGCTGATATTGATGATCTTAAAAGTCGAATTGCAGCAATTTTAAGACCGCAAAAATGTTCTGAAATGTTAGGAAGAGGAAATAACAGCCTTGCATGGTTTACTTTACAGCAAAGTTTACACAGTTTTCAGTTTAGTTGACAGGAAAATTAACAACATTTGAACAACTTATAATATAGTGCCTAATTAGGTCCCATAGGTTTCATAATAGAAATTTATTTTCCGAAAATGAAGTTATTTTTCTCAAAGTAAAATAATCCATAAATCTAAAATTAATTGTTTAAACTAGATTTTCTTCCTGTTATTTAACGATTTTAACGGTGTAACTGAATCTTCTAGTCATTTGTACCATAAGGATACCCAATGACATAATTTTTGTTTAAACACTAATCTGAAAACCAAAACCTCAATGATTTAATGCAATTTTAATGGGGAACTTGCATAAAAATTAAATTTAAAAAATATTACTCGCAAACGTAACTTAATACTATTAAAAACACCACAGTTGACCAAAAAACTATTTTTTTATTTCTATGTAATTAATATAAGCAATTAAACACTGTATAATTCAAGGCATTCTTGTAACGCGCCGTCATCGGCTGGGACCGGTGACGTCTAGGGGCTCGTCGGCCGCGGCCGCTGCGATGCGGAGCATGTAAATATGCAACCTCAGTCTTGTTTTTTTGTTAAAACGTTTATATAGTGTCTTAGGAAAAAAGATAATTTTTCAAAATCACTGACGCAGGTTTCGTAAAAGAACAATCTGACATTTTAGTCCTCCTTGATGTTAAGTACAAAAATATGTACTAAGTAAAAAACGTTATTTACAGATCGAGACGGTATTTTGTAAGAGTTTAGTATAAAAATTAAGGCTAATATAAGCCTTCATTTTTTTAGACCTCCCATTAACTTGAATTTAACATAGTTATCCATATCTTCTTCCAACTAGAATAATTAAATAATATTAAAGTTACATAAAACTATGTGTTAAAATTCATATTGCATGACAAAAATAGTAGGTATTTAACTTAAATGCGCGACGATGAAACGAGATTTTTCCTTCGCAGATACTTATTGTTTCTTTTTATCGTTTAGTATAGAAATGAACTATTTTTGAGGTGATTATTTACTACTATAATGCAGCCGAGAAGCAAACAAAATACAAATTCAACGTATTTACCTGTTATACAATAGACAAAATCAAATCTGTTTTTTATACTTACATTAAAATGATCTTTATATACATGGGGAGTACTCTTCTCAGAAATATCCTTGTATATCTTTAACCTTTAACCATTTTACACGAAGGCTTTTACCTCGGGGTACACGAATAAATAGCCTATCTGGCGTTTTAAAAGTTGTACTTTTATACAGTGGCTCCATACAGCATTTGAAATATTGTTTTTGTGTTACTTCCATTATTACTAAAGCACAGCAAGAATTCTGAACAGTCAAACACCCAGACAATTCCACGACAAGCCGTATTCCCGTATTGCCTTTCGATCGAACGACCAGCGCTATGACGTCACGACCATTTCCGCGCGTTTAGTGCCGTTTCAAATGGATAGCCTGCGGTCACAACTTTAATTGTTTATTGAAAATTAAATATTGCGACTTGAGGGCTGATATTTGGTATGCGCGATTTCTATAGATAGGCAAATATATTTAAAAAGAAAATTAAAAATGTTTAAGTTCCCCATTGTTTCTGTAACTTTCAAACGCGATTGTTCGATAACCTCTAGACAAAAAGCAACAAAGTAGTAACTAATGTAGAGCGAATTAAACGATGGGTCTACTTGACCCCCCTTCCCATTTAAGATTCTCAAGGTGACATCTACCCCTCCTAAGGGGTTGAAACAAGGAGGCTAAAAATATGTATTTAAAGTGTCCTCCTTACAAATAAAATTGACGAGTCTTTCCGATTTTTCATCTTTTTAACTGCCAGAGAGATATTAAGGATGGGAAGTTTACAGTAAGGAACAAGAGGCCGTCATTTAATTTTTCAATGCAATGGTTTTAAAAAAATATTTTTAATTTAAGAATCATTCAGAGATTGCAATAATTGCCCAGCCCAATGTGAAGAGGATGTGTACGATATTACTTTAACAAGCGCAAAATTTACTAACAACTTGGACGTTTGGATGGAGGACTATTTGTAAGTATCACTTATAGATAGGGTATTAGTGAGATAAATTTATATTTGATTAACTGCTCAGAGTCAAACTCATATCAATATATTTAAAAAAATAGCATCAGAGTATTAGCTCAAGGTAACAAATTATTTCCCGAAATATTGTGATCTCAATATTCAAATTTCAATTCCATAGCAACTAATCCGAATATACCTTTAAGAGATTCGCTGCTTCAAAGTAAATGCTTTCAGCTCCAACTTTAACGAGACGCAAAAAGCCATTCTACTAAATATATTCTTTGCTTTTAATGGGCAAACGGTGTGGGTAACAGATACGATAACGTCTGGAATATATCTAATATGTAAGTACAGCTAACAAGTAAAATTATTTAAAAACTTTAACTAATTTTAGCGTCTTTTGGAGGAATTTATTCGCTTTTTCTGGGCTGCAGCATCATATCCATTATTGAAGCACTCTACTACTTGATAAAAGGACACTTATTTTGGCAAAAGTCAATTAACCAAAATACTATTTTCCCTAAGCAACTTTCAACCAATTTTATCGTCCTTCAATCTGATAAAGCGCAAAAATCGCAGAACTCGTTTCCTATCATTCCCTATATCAACTGACAAGTTATATGATCTCGATAGATTTTAGCAGAAATTAAATCGTAACAATTCATTTAAGATAAAAACTCAAACACACACTATCGATTGTTTTTAAGAAATACACACAGAGAAAGATCTACTAATCTGTTTTATTTTTTTTATTTGTTTAAGTTAGTCCAACTGGCAACTTTTTGTAAAAAGTAGTAGTAGAAGTAGTATTGTAGGGGGACCCGATGCACAAAGGCAAAGATCCGTCGCCACTTCAAGAAAGACAATTCGACCCGGGAGAGTGTAGAGGCTCTAAGGAGGCGCCTCCGAGGAGATCATCAGAGATGGGGAGTCTGCCATCTCTAATAGGTGGTAGGTAGGTTTCCTCGGTCATTCTACATTGTGACCATACGGGGCTATCACCAATTTCTAGTAGGTGTAGATGTATGGAAATAAACATTTTTTTTTGGATTTAGGAGCCTAAAAATTAATAGGTTGCTAAATTTACATCGTAAAATATTCGCTCACTTCCATACAATTAGTACTTCCCCGGAATTGTGGCGATATTTGATGTGACATGAACATATTCATGCGATGGTCCAGGAATATCGCACAGTTCGGCTATGGATTGCACCAAGCGTCTTTTCTCAGGATATGCTTTTCCTGGCTTAAGTACGGACTCCAATATACTCGTATGGGTCGAAATGGTGTTGGACTCCCGAACAGCCACACGAATATCATCTGTAAGTATGAAACAGGCAATCATGGAGTAAACAAATGTATATAATTTTAAACACTAATATACCTTGATTTTTCCCGGGAGTTATACATCCTTTAGCAGGTGGTATACTGTCTCGATAGAAGCTATTCTCTATGGAAGCTGCACCTTGGAACGTTTTTATTGTATCCTTGCACGTTTTTATTCTATCAAAAATTCCTACAAACTGAACATTAATCTATGGTAATATATATATGAAAGATTAAATAAGTTTATACTATCTATATATTGCTATTTTGCTAAATATTTAATAAACAAATTCGTCTAAAACTCAAATTATTCATGAATCTCTAAAACGCAATCGTATTGGTTGTGACGTCTCTGATCATATAAATGGCGGATTGTTTACGTTATGTGCATAGTGTTTAGTTGTGTGGTTGTTTCATAAATTATTTTGTGGATTTAAATAATTTATAGTTTGTGTTAAGGTAAAAAATGGCTTCAGAAGGATTCCTTAAAGCGTCAACAAACAATTTACCATGTGTACATATTTTTATGGTTACCGAATTTTAAAAAAACGACGAACGCTTTAATTCAGCCGTATTTAAGGGTATCGAAGCAGCAGCGTAAGTAAAAATCCGTAAATTCATTGTTAGTTACTCTCTCCTTATTATACTAATCTGTCTTGGATCTAATCTGGATTGGTTTAAATTAGGTAAATAATAGATAGAATTTCACTTATTCAACTTAACCTAACCTATACACATGGCTGCTTTAAAAGTAAAATAAACTCTTAAATCTGTATTTTGGGCATCACGAGAACAATATAGTGATAGTGCTATCGGATATGTAGAATTGAAACGCAAGACTTTTTGTGCACACTACAAGGTAGAATTTGCCCAGAACACAAAGTACGATCGAAGGCATACTCTGTCTGCCTTATCGTTAGCTTTTTGTTCGTACTTTTATTAAAATGATCCTCGCGACAAAAAAACATTGATTTTGGCACATCACGTCTAGCTGCTTTGAACCATAAAACTTTACGTGTCTAATCATGGGAAACGGTTAGAAAGAGTTTGTTTGGAGCACTTATTGAGGTATTCTTGCATCCTGGCACAAAACACCACTTATTTTCTGATTCATACATGTCACTCTTTTCCATTATGCGAGATAATAATAATCAATAAAATAATGATAATCACAATAACTTAGATAATAAAACAAAGCTGCGAAAACAACAAAATAAACACTAGACCTGTTACCGAAATGTAGGCCATTTTGAGAGTTTAAAAGGAGTTTTTTATCCAGTCCCAAACCCGCTATCCAAGCATTCTTATTTATTGCTACATGTCATCTTTTGTCAATTTGTTTTAACAGTAAACATAATTTTCGATTGAAAAACTTTCCTAGGCCTAGTAATAATATACCTATGTAAATTTGTATTTTACTAACTTCAGGCCTTTGACCATATTTTATAATTGGAAATCCGAATGTAGACATTTCAAGACGATTATTAAGATCGACATGATGCAATGTTGAAAAACTTTTTATAATCGAAGAATGGAAATGTTGATATGACCTGTTACGTCACAATCGGGATAGGCAACCGACGATACAAATTCGGCGTTTTTGGCGGAAAACATCTGACTTGAATTTAAATTCGCTTTCAAATTATTATGGAAACTTTTTGCAAGAAAAAAAAATATCAGTGTAATGTTTGCCATAACTACTTTCTATATATCGACATTAAAAAAAAGTGAAAACACCCTATTATATGTAGTATGTAGGGTGAATAATGTATGTAGTCATCTTTAAGCAGGACATAGGCAAGTCTTATTTAAACATACCTGGGAGGTATTTTGTAGGGAGTTGTTGAAACACACATCGTGGAAACGTCTAGAGCACATAAATACACTACAAAATTTCAATTTTGCCAATAAATGCTCACATCCAACCCGCCTGATCCAAATTCTTCTCAAATTTTCATCTCTAGGAAGTGGACACCTGAAAATATTGTGTTATAATTTGCATGCAAAAAATGTGAGACCATGCACCATGTTGGCGTCATCCAGCAATCAATATGTAAATAATTTTAGTAATGCCGAAGCTTACCGTCTAGAACATCTTTCATCGCACTGATTGGCACACGATAAGGTCTTAAACACATGTTAAAACAAATTATTGGTGGCAGAAAGCAAAAAATGTGCAAGAAACAGCGACTTTCTCTGATGTCAGAAAGACGCCTAGCAACAAATGCAAATCAGCACCCACGCTGGAAACGTGTTGAGTGTTGACTAACCGGTCCCATAGATGAAGACAACTATCCTGCAAGACCGGTCCTGGGGTACCTGATGGCCGTATTTATAGACGGCTCTCAAGTGACACTGAACACTCAAGTGACTGTCATGATGAAAAATGCGTTTTATAGTAGTCACTTTGAGATCAGCTGACGTGTAAGGGCGACTTGGACTTGAGTGTGGAGTATAGGACCCTTGAGTGTGTTTTTCTAACCTAACCATTCTGGCGCCAAACCTTCTGTCATAGTTGAGCTGATAATTACCATTTGTTATTCACACGTTTTGTTAAATATATTATTAATATGGACGATTTGGCAGAATGTATGCAATATGTTGATTAAGAAATGCACGAATGGGTTCCAAAGAGATACATACGAGATATGCAAGATCTTTTTTCCAGTTCTACGGAGAGCAGAAATTTGTTCAGAAATCGGTTTCGGAAAAAAACCGTTATCGATGTATTTAGCTGTACCTTTAGCTTTAAGTAGAATTGGAAGTGCATCTAGATGAGGTTTGCCTATTCCTGCTCATTTGCAGCTTCAGATAACATTAAGGTGATATAATATGCTACTGGCAGTTTCCAGGTAGGTCAAGTGATAAGTGCTTAATAGAATTACGCTTACACGAAAACAACTCTCATTATGTAATATACAATAATAATATATTATGATGGATGATTACAGAACTGTGCGTCTTCTGTCTAGCTGAATATACGGTTCTCCTCTGGCGCTCCATTTGTTTACTCCTGTTCAAAATTACTGTTTACACTTCAACGGCCTCTTCAAAATTCGCTTTATCCGTCAAACTTGTCTTTATTTATGATAAATTCCAATGATACCAACCGGACGATCATAAGAAACCTATGATCCGTCACTTAACGGCCACTTTTCCAAGTCACTCTCGAGTTGTAACTATAAAATGGCTTCTATCTCAAGTGTCAAAAGTCACTCAAGTCGTTCTTCGATAAGTGTCTCTCAAGTGCCACTTGGCACTTGGACTATAAATACGGCCATGAGGTTGGCACACCTTCAAACCTGCACTTGCTTACATCATAAGCTCATGACGGCTCTGATTCGGTCGGAAGCTTTCATTTTTCAATTCATACAAAAATTTGTATGAACGCACATACGCAGTTTTTCAGGTAGAATCGAAATTCACAAAAAATATGTTCGATACATCGTCTTCGATTATTATTCTCAATTTCATTAAAGCGGTAGATTTGTCCAAAGTAAATGGCTCAAACCAAAGATATATTTTCCACAAAGACGCTGGAATACCTGCCGATCGATGAACGAAGGAAATAAATAGAAATCTTTGAATGGGATGTGCTGAAATATGATTGCCCATAGATTATTTTAAAGATGATTTATTTTTCTAGTTTGTAATGTCAGTTCCAATAGAAATATAATTTACATATATATTTTTCAATAAACAATACGAGTAAATTTGGCAATAGTGTAGAATACGACACCATTGTATAATAACAACGCATTTTATATAACAATTGTCGGGACAATAATGACATATTCACTTTTGCATGTACTTATATTTAATCATTATATTATATATTATATACACAGCGTAGTTACAAATACATTAACAATAAAAATATGACAATTGCTAAAATCAATATTTCCAATTCGAATACTCATTTTGATTAATACAACCAAGTAAAACGAATAAATCAATATAATCACTTTTGTGGTAAACTATCAACGGGTCTTCGGCGATATTAAACAGCATTGCTAACGCGTATTTTCCATAATCTTACCAATTTTATTACAAAGAAACTAACTGCCCTGGCAACGATAGCTCACTAGGTTAAGGTGCGTCCACATCAGTAATTTTGTTACGCTGCGATCCATTTTCGTCGAAACCACGTGAGTTCGGAAAAACAGACCGTTTCTGCAACGTTTGGAAACCAGAAAAAGTTGGACATAAGTTAGTCATTAGTCATTTCGGAGTGATAAAAGCGTTTTAATAGTTAAGGGGTTAATCCAGCAGATTTCGGTTTTTGCAACAATAAAATATATTCCCGTTCAGAGCTAGTTCTGGAGTGACTGGAGCATATACTTTTACAAAAGTGATGATCTATGAAGACATGCATAAATGATGAGCACCAAAAGCTGAAGGCAAAGACAAAGTGATCCCTACCAAACCGTTCATTGTCAGATGGTGTCTTGGCTTCAGAGCTACCTTCGACATCGTGTACGGAATAAACGGAGATAAAAATCCGGTTTGCATTTATCGATGGGTAATATGATCTATTGGTTCATTTTTGGTGTCGTTTGTTTGATCCCGGAATGTCCTTAGTTGGTTGACTGCACAATTTACTGCATACAGATCTGGTATGTTATATTAATTTTTGTTTTGTTTCTGTTTCTAGCCTTGAGAAATACCTGAATAAAGGGTCGAAATGTCGGCCATTTTTAGAGTTTAAAAGGAGTTTTTAATCCAGTCCCAAACCCGCTATCCAAGCATTCTTATTTATTGCTACATGTCATCTTTTGTCAATTTGTTTTAACAGTAAACATAATTTTCGATTGAAAAACTTTCCTAGGCCTTGGAATAATATACCTATGTAAATATGTATTTTAGTAACTTCAGGCCTTTGACCATATTTTATAATTGGAAATCCGAATGTAGACATTTCAAGACGATTATTAAGATCGACATGATGCAATGTTGAAAAACTTTTTATAATCGAAGAATGGAAGTCACAAAGAGGGCAAGTGCCAAAATTCGCGATTGCGAGATAGATCCATAGACAGATGTTAAGTGGCTGTCTTTATGCCTTGACGAAATCGCTATGTGCTAATCCTCATGCTAACCTCAAATCAAAGATGTAGCACCGCCAAGCAACCAACCTGATTCCTTGCACATTTTCCTAATTATCTTCAAAAATACATTTTGGCATTTATCCCCTTTGTTACTTCCACTCTTCAATCACAAAATCGTTAACATAACAATCAAACCAGCTAAATACCAGATAAGCGAATATATGATTGATTATGAATTTTTTTTTAATAGGTAAAGGAACCAATACCAGAGAGTAATGAGTCTTTGCCAATACTGCGAAAATAAATATTCTTATTGCGCACTTGACGTCGCTGGGACAGCCAACACAGGAGCCTATTTTCGGTCTATTCTGGAACACTGATGAAAGTACAGTACGCTACCCGATTAAGCTATGCAATAAATCGATTTTAATTTCTTTCTTTACTCAAAAACGGTGTGTTCTAGAAAAAAAGTCAAAGAGACCTTTCTTTTTCCAAATCCAAAATTACTTGCACCATCACCCCGTACAAGGAATACATTAGGGATGGTCGGTATTTACCGTAACCGCTAAAATGTGTTCCAAACGTGTAACCTGTTACGTGTTACCAAGGTGAAACTGAAACGTTGCAACCCGTTACAGATAAATAACCGTTTAGCACACCTCTAGAATACATCTACTTAACACTTTGTATACACCGCACACAAATTGCAATCCCCAGTCCACATCCAAACAAGCGTTCGGAGCGAATTTCTTTGCAAAATACAAAGCACAACATAAATATTTACTGATGTGGACGCATCTTAATGATCCGTAAATATTCGTACTTCTACCATGACTATATAAAAGAAATTAGCAACAAACCTGAATCGATGATTAAATTGAAATTACTTTAGATTCGGCTATAAAATGAAATCCTGTCAAGTGCCGGGTGTCCATTTCTCGTTGTAAATCACAGGTGTTTCACTTATTACTGAAGATAGAAACATGCGATTTTCGTAATACGGTGACCGATTTGCCAAACAAAAAATGGTAGTGATTGATGTGGTCCCTCCATATTGGTTTTGTAATTATAGGGTGTTTCTGGATAGTCTGTACTTTTCGACATCATTTTTTTTTATCTCAAACACTAAACAAAATATACGATTGCTGAAAAAGTGGGAAAACGTTTCTCAGGTAAAATCCAGTGGAGTAGTTACTTTTTTTCCTATAAGGTGGTTTTTTCATATGCGTCTTAAAAAAAATTGTTTTTAATTATAATTCCTTTATTATATTTCTAAAAGTGATTATTCAATTAAAACTACTTAAATTAAATTCTACTCCCTATAGCAGAAGCATTATAATGCGGAACAACACGAATTTCGCGACACTTCAAAGTGAGGCGGGTACAATGGTTGAAAATCAAATAAAAACCGGTCGATTCGTTTTCGATCGGTCATGTATATTGTCCATGCATTTCGATCGGTATATTGTCGAAATGCGGATTTAAAAGCGAATTAAAATATGTGAAAATATACAAGGTATCATTAAAAAAGTAAGTTTGGTTGGGATATAAAAAAAACCATTTACATTGGAAACAAACTAACTACTCCGCTGGATTCTACGCGAAAAAATCTACAAGCATCCTTTTGAATATTTTTCACTGTCATCTTTCATAAATCTTCAATAATAACTGAGAAATCCGCGATTTACAACGACAACTGGATACACTGTACTGAAACAGAAAAGCACATTTGAGTTTGAGGTGCGACGATTGCCTACTATTCTCCCGAGGAATCGTTCTTATAATGCTGCGTTTGATCATCCGTGTACTCCTCCACCAGGTTCTTGATGTGCGAAAGTTTTTCATACAAGTACTTGTATCGGGATTTGGCGCGCAGCTCATCTGGGTGGGAGGCGTAATATTCGTCGGCAAGTCGCTGTCTTAAGAACTGAAATAAAGAATTTATGAAAAAATATGAATTACTAAAAGTAATTGTATAAAATGAGACAAACTAATAACTTTTCTTGATCTGCTTTCTACAGGGTGTCCCGTAAGCTCATGATCAAAAAGGTACTGCGGTATTGTTTGGACCAAAAGAAGACGATCTGACCTAACTTTTATTAACAAAAAATGTCTGGCTTCTCTGCTATTGATGGTCAAAGTTCTTCAAAACATTTATCTATTGTGAAATATCGGGAGAATGGTATGATGTATTTTAGTGAAACTCGCTGTGAATTTGTTCTTATGTAAGACTCATATTTTGATGAAACAATCGAGTTCAGCCGTTTTGGACAAGTGGTGAATTCTTGAGTGTCGTGGTCCAAAAATTTGCTATAATTTGCATATTTTAGAGCGGTTGAATGAACATGAATGTTGGGTACAAACAATTGATAGATTGGAAAATGTCAAGTAGTGATTTTAACTTACATTATATCTAGGATTACTTTCGTCCGTTTGGTCCATTTCATCTTGATACAGACTGAGCCTTTCTGCCACTCTTTGTATGACGTGATAGAGGTTCTTGTACTCATCATAATATGCATTGAAATCTGCCTTGTACGCGCTTTTCTGATTAGGTGATGTAACTTTCACATACTGTCTGGAAAATTTTAAACCATTTAAAAATTAAATCATGTTGAATAATAATGGTTTGTTGCAAGCCGCAACTTACTTTTTGAAGTCAAGATACGACTCCTCCTCTTCTGCTGTTTCCTGGATGATGTTTTGTTCGGATTCATCCCGATTAGATTTCGTCGGACGATCGGTTTGGCTATCGGGACTTACTCGGACAGATCTTTGATGACTGGTTGATGAAACCTATAAAAAATTGCATATTTAAAATTTTACTACATGAATGATTTTATATCGGACTACATAAGGCTAACAAGTAGAGGAGCCACAAATTGTTCATGCAACTTCCGCCGATCCGTCCATATTCACTCATAATAATAAACATTCTCATTTGATATTCCAACAATACTCAGGTGCGTATCGATTAAATTGTTGTCAAATTTATGATTTTTTGTTTGCGAACATCTATTTTTACTGAGAATTATTACAAAAGGAATTAGACACCATACATTATACCATAGAAAAAAAATTACTGTATAAGTAAAACTTCGGAACACCATTAAAGAAAATATTAACTTACTTTTGTAGCACGATTTTCACTGTCTCTTGCGAAGTCACTGGAAGATGCTTGTCTGTGACACACTGGACTAACTGAACCCTTGCGGTGATCTGTAGGGAGTATCAAGCTGTTCTTCAATGGTGACCTGAAACAAAAATTACAAAAACTTTACAAAAATATCAAAGACCTAATGACATACAGCGGAGAGCATATTTAAATATATAGCTACATCCATTTCAAAAATCACAATTTCATTTAGTGTTTTATTTCAACCCCGGTCTATTGTCCGATAAAATCAAACATTGCCACAAACAGATTTTAAGGTCTCATTTAATCCCAAAGATTGACTGATGTATAAAATTTCCATAAGCGACCCTTCAAAAAAATATTGCGACCTTTTTAGTTTTTGTCATAGCTACAGTGACAGAGGCTACATTATAGGGTCTATTTACATAACATTGAACAGTGTATGAAAGAGATTTTGATCTCAAAGGCAGAAAATGAGAACCTACTACTCTAAAAAATATTGATTAAACAGTAACAAAAAACCTACCCGTTAAAAGTGTTTTCTCTACTGCTAGCAAATGACATACCACTGGCAACAGCTTTGACGCCCTCTGGAGGAGGATAGTTGTCAAAAGAATTGCTGAAACTGAGAAAATGCAAAAAATAAAAAATAAAATCAGTGTTGTTATCGACGATTCAGACTAAAGCACAAACGATAAGTAATAGGGAGTTTTTAGGCCCCTTAGTTGCAACACGTTTTACGTCGTCCGTTATTTTGAGCATGCGCATTAGTAAATAAATAACCGTTTACCTTATTAGCGGATAACGTGTTCCTTTATTTACGTACGAGCAGCGGTGACGTTAATAAGCACCACGTTAAAAAGCAGAACGACGGTGTTGACATATTTCACTTATTTCCAATATTATTAATAAAATAAGCGGCTATAATAGAATAAGAAATGTATTGTAAATTTAAATAAAACTTTTTCACTGAATAATTTACGCAAAAATGGCGTTACGGATTTGATGTAAAAATTGTTTGGGCTAATTTGAACTTTGACATCGCAATCACAGGTTCTAACTTCTAACCCATAACCTAACTATTTGATTTTGAATTTTTATTTAAAATGTTCGGAATATGTTAAAATTTAGAGTCTAAGACATAAATTCCATCACAGTTGAAATGTAAAATAACAAACGTTGTGATAAAGCAGAATGTGCACCTCCATTTAAGCAAGCTTGCCATTTTTAGATATAAATTCAGTCACAAGATGAAATGAAAGTCAGTTATATAGGCGTGGTAAGGTCGACATATTTTTTAAAAGTATTTTTTTGGTGGTACCAAAATTAACTCGGGTAATACTTCGAACTCAGTAAAAAGCATCTGCAAAAAAAATATTTATAAACGTTAATTCATTTTTAAATAAAAATTAGATTTTGATTAGAAATAAAAAATTTTGCAAATAAAGCGTATATTTTATTTAATCAGTTTTTATTTATATATTTTATCTGGTTTATTAGCATTTCTTTTGTTCTTTAAGCAGGTACTTCTGACCCATGTTTTGTTTTTGATTTCAGAATATTTTATTTTATCTAAGAGCTTTAGTTAAGAATTATTCTTTTAATAAAAATCATTATTTGTCATTACTATATCTACCATCATCATCATTGCGCATGTTTAATGAAAATTTTTAAAAGTAACATGTTTGGAACCGCATTTTGAACCTATTACCAACGTGAAACTGGAACGTTGTAACCTTGTAACAGAAAAATAACCGTTTATCCCACCTCTACAACACATGCAGCACATGAAAATAATTGCCTTTTCCCAACAAAAGTGGAAGACCAACAACGTAGTGCGACCTTTTAGTAGGTAGTATATACTATGTAAATTAATTTCATTATTTCAGACATATAAAATACTAGGATTTGTAATCAGAAATTTTAAATATTTTAGCAATAATACAATATTTTTTTATTACATTTTTAGTATTTAATGTGATAAGCACTCTAACTTATTATTACCACTTGGGTGGTATTTATTATAAGTTTTACCGATAAATAAATATATGGAATGTATTTACTAATTTGAAAACTATCCATATAAATGTATCGATATATGTAAGGATATTCAATATACTGTCAAATATACAATAAGCCAAACTTTTTAAGAGATTTATTCAATGAATAATTATTTAATGGTTTAAGTTGTTCATTTAAATACTACGAATACAAAATTTGATACCCATTGAAGCTGATCAGAATAAATCATTTGTAAATTATTATAAATTTAAAAATGCTTATAATTATCACTGTCTTTCTTTGTGCTAGTATAAAGACAATGCTATTATTTTTCTTCCAACAAATTGAAACAATCCCTCTTAAAAAATTAGAAATTACTAGCCAAAAGCGTATAAAATGTACCTATACATTTTTGTACGATACTATTTGTTTGTCATTTCTAGAGCTTACATAGGGTTCGAAAGTCACGAGAATGAGAAAAAAATGTTTGGCGGACTTGTCATTGTTTATCTCGACAAATTATAGAATAATTATCATCAAACAATAAGCAAAATCACCTAACCTTAAATCGTCTTAACTCATTTGTAGAACTTGTCAACAATACGTTCCATAACCACAACCCGGTAGGTTTATATATGATTGGTTCGAATCGCCGCAATCGATAGAAGTGACAAGAAGTGCCGTATACGTAGACACTTGTAACTATAACCATCCTATAAAGTGAAACTCACCTATTTGAAGGTGATTCCCTACTTCTCGGGTTCATATTGGAAGTATCTCGAAGATCGACCGCAGATCTCCTCTGGCTATTATTCTGCTGCACAGGAGACCTATTGTACACCACATATTAAAAATTAAATTCAATCTTTGCTATTAATCATCATTTTAGTGTGATCAACAACCAACGGACAACGATTACAGATAAGCAGATTCTGATCAACAAAAATCAAGTTTAAAATGGTTCTTGTTTAGATCTGGCCTAAAAATACGTCTATGTAACGCTACAAACAAGAAAAGCAAACGTTTTTGTATTTCTGAGCAATCCAATCCTTGGAGTCACTTGCTTCTTCTCACATTAACAGAATAATGAAGCGTCTATTCGAGTATCAAAGAATGACTTCCATCAACAGCTCCAAAACGTATTATAGATCGTGTATATTACTAACATCAAACGAGCCGCCTTGCTATGTCCCCTTTCTTTTAACATGTTGCATCTAACGCAAATATAACAATGATGAGTTAAATTAAGATCTTACTTGTAATTAACAAATCCGTCCACTGGGGGCTGTTGAGCGCTAGAATTGGGCCCCTTAGCACCATGAGCTATGCGCTGCTTTTTATATGGGAATCCATCTGCACCTTCACTATATCCCGGCCGTTTTGTTCCTCCTGTAAGACCATTTGTAGAGGAAATCATTGGCGGCGATCCCGGGTGGGTACTTGTGGGTGACTGGCCGCTACCAGAACTACCGCCGTCACTGCCACCTGGGGGTGTTAGATTCTGAGGTTTTTTTCTGAAAGTTTATATTTGTAAGACAAAAATGAAAATGTTTGCAACCGTCATCACTACAACACTAATATGTTATAATCTACACCTATAACACTTCACGAAGTAGTTCAAGAGCGAAAATTATTGGGAGAAGTTCCTAGAACAGTTTTTCGAAAGATCAATAATATTTGAACAACGAGTACAGGGCGTTTAGGTTTCATGTTAATAATAAATAATTTTTAACAATTTAATAATTTTTTACTACTTACAACCTAGGTCCCAAGCCCCGAGAAAAGAGGAGGGTTCGGACCCCGGTAAAAAAAATAAAATGCTCATACAAACGATCAGAGAGCCTCTGATACAGAACGGAACCTCTTAAAGACGCCTCCCGCAATAGGACTACGAGAAAGGATACCGAAATCAGAGTAGCATGCTGGAACATTAGATAGTGGACTAAGAGAGACCAAGAGATACTGGTAGAAATAAATACCCACAAAATCGAAAAATGCGCACTTAGAAACCAGAAAGAGAGGAAAAGGAACAATAAAACACCAAAATGGTCTGCTTATACAGGGTGTTCCGTAAATATGTTAAAATATTTTAACAGCGTGTTCTTCTAGTCATTTTAGAGGGGGGTTTTCCTGAGAATTTTTCAATTTGAGGTTTCATTGTTGAAATATTTGACTGCCAAAATGGCGGAAAATATTAGTTTTTGTTGTTTTTCTTTAAAACGGTTAAACATTGGGAACTTAAATTTTGGTACACATTATAAGCTAATTGAGTGACATTCTATGGTACTGTTTTGTGGTTCAGTTTACTTTTATACAGGGTAGAAATGTGGAACCCCTACTTTTATTTTGTTTAAAACTTTCTTGTGTGCATTTAAACTCTCAAAATGTATAAGTAATTAAGTTAGTTTTTAAAATCTGATAACGATTTCATGACAATTTTGCTACGCATTATTATTTAATTACTAACAACCTAAATTATTTTTCGAAAATGTGTATTTCGGTTCAAATTACAATTATTAAGTTTTAATAATTTTTGCTTAAATAATACCATGGTAACAACATGCGTAACGATATAAACTATCAAAATTAAATTTAAACAACCATTATAATCTTAACTTAGCAGCTGTTCAAATTGGTCACCTTGACACTCTTGGCATAATCGCAGTCTCTTAATGCAATTAAAATTTCCAGACCGTAAAGTTTGCACGGAGGTTCTTATTTCGTTATAAATACTAAATATTCTTTCCTGAAGTTCCTCGATTGTATTCACTTCTGTTGCATACAACTTTGAGAATGTGATAAATAGTTTATATGTAAATTACGGATAGATACCAAATTGTTTTCGCACTATTTGTAAATTTAAATTGACTTAGTGCGTAAATAAATGAAATTGAAAAAAAGATTACTAACTACCTGACCAAAGCCTTTGATCGAGTCAGATTAGGAGATGTGCTAAAATTACGTAAATAAGAAAACCACCCCAGCAGTTTCGTAGACAATAAGAGGCAGACAGGCAGCGGCCGAGCTTCGAAGTTTAATCCGGATGCGTATCCGGAAGTGGATAGTGTGAACGCCAGCATTTGAACCAATGTATCGCTATCAGTCAGCTTCTTTTTGAAGCGCTTCCGGCGGTAGTCAACGGCCTTGGTCGCGCCCGTGTGAATAGCTCCATGTAAATCAATGTGCTTTCAAAACGCGCTTCTCAGTAGCGCCACTGAGAAACGCTGCAAAGTGACCCGTGTGAAACGGCTCTTAATGTGCTGTCGATATCGTATGGTTATTTGTTATGTATCATGGGCTTTGCTTTTAAGCGGTGCTGCGTGTTCAATTTTTTTTTCTTGATTTTACTGAAGACAGACGATGACACACGCCGGTTTCCGTTGTTTTAATGAATGGAAGAAATGAAAAAGCAACATTTTTCTTCTTGCAAAGCCTAGACAACAATGCGCAAGTGAATTTGCGGGGAAGATCAGATTATTTTGATGATTGAGCAGGTGTCGGAAATCGTCGATATAACATACTTAGAAAAACTATTACATATTTTGTACCATATGTGGGTAGGCAGCATGGCCAGTGCTTCAATTTATGCCAATACTGCGTTATTTTTATGATATACGATTTGAACTTCGGGCATTAACAGAACCCATCCGACCTGAGAAAAACAAAAATCGCCGACGGAGATCCATGTTCGTCACCCTGTCAGTCCATGATATTTTTAATGTACGCTAATGTCTAGGCATTATGCAAAGTGCTTGGCTAGTTGGTCAGTGCAGAAAGCCTAGATATTGCTGGATTTCGAACATTGCGGCTAACATATTTAAAATAAGATAAAACCTGCGGCTTCGAAATTCCACAATCGCAACACAGTGTTACCCACTACTATCTATCTAATAAGAGGCATCGACACGAATATTATCCTCAATTTTATATTTTAAGTTTAATGTCAGTGCAAACATCGCATTACATGCCAAAATCGCTAATGCGTTTTTATGTTAACAATATTCCAAAGCGTATTTTTTCTCAAATAGCACATATTCCCAAATGATAACAATTAGTTAATAGCTGAACTCTACTATATACGAATAGCGAAGACTGTTACTTTTCGCACAGAAGTACGCAACAGACATGCACTTTTAATGTGTTTTTGTGCACGGGTGATATTTCACTTGTTTAACTTTCCCCCATAGAGTGCAGAAAAGTAAAAATGCCACTTTTTATTCGAATAATTTTTGTTCTACTACTACTACTACTCTTTCAGAAACCTAAACGTGGATGACAGAGCTTTAACTCTCTATAACTCAAATAACTTTAAATAAAATGAACATACGTACCTCTTGAGTATTTGTTTCTCTGTTTCATTATAAAAGGGCCAATCATCATTTACTTCATTCCACATATTCCTGTTTAGATAATAACTATTGTCTCGCAATACGGCTATTTGCTTTAATACATTTGTCATACTACTGGTTCCTCTAAGTCCCTCTAAAATATTAATCATTATATTAACTTGTATTATTAATAAATGTGTCTCAGATTTCCATCTACAATTAAGTATCTGCAATGTTTCTTAATAACTTATTTGTATGTCCCTTTAATATAGAAAAAGAATCAATGTAATTTAGCTTTGCGAGCTGATGCAAAAGAAATAGAAGTTATAAGTATATATAAATATATCAAAAATATATTAAAATAACAACATTCGGGTATCTGTATGTTTTAAATTAATCATCTGAGAATTATTTCATAAATGGAACAATTAATTACATTTATAAGCATAATTTGGTAAAAATTAAGTGTCATGAAATGATGATTCTGAATAACCTGAAGAAATGCAGCCATTAATAAGCAAATTTACAAAAAAAAGAATAGGAATCGGTTATCGGTTTATTTTGGATATTGTGATTTATGATACTGGTGTACCTGATAAATAAGGAAAGTTCCGCTCTATCATGCTCAAATTCCATGCAATAATAAGCTTATTTGGACATGATAAAAGAAATAAAATATAATTTAATTCACCCATAAAAAATATATAAAACATTTGATTTAAATGAACAAACCTTTGGTAATACGATCGTGCAATTCTATCTTCTTAAAGGGTCTCAGAGCCAACAGGTGTATCAATCTCTCTCTGAAATAAAAACCAAAAAAATATCGATATTATTTCGGTATGTATGTAGCAATAGCCAAAATGTATACAGGATGATTCAAAGTTGACGTCATTCCTCTGGTTGTGTTGTCTAGGGGTGTTTAAGAAATACAGGAATGTTAATTATTTATTAGAATTAAATGTTAATTTAAACAAAAATTAGATTTTTAAACATTTTCGCACATAAACCGTATATTTTATTTAGTCACCATAGTTTTATTATTATCAGTTTTTTTGTTCTTTAAGTAGTTATCTCGAACCTATGTTATGTTTTTGATTTTAGAATATTTTAAGTTAGTTGTGTTAGTCAATGTTAAGAATTATGTTTTGGGTGAAAATGGAACGTTGTAACACGTTACCGAAAAATAACCGTTTATCACACCTCTATCTAGGAATATGACAACGCATGCCCCCGAAATTAATCTTCAACCGTATTATCGAATTAAGTAGTAACAACCGTGGGGGTTCAAAATGTACAATATCTACAATAACAATATGCAGAGTACAATGGGGAATAAATTAAAAAGTGACTGGAAATGGATAAAAATGGTCTAGTTATCTACTCTTAGACGAAAATATACGTATCTATTACGGGAATCATAAATTCAACGGTTCCATATGGTGTGTATGACTAAAGTGTCCGTGCAACAAAACTGAAGGAGACTAATAAAATACCAATATTGGTCTTCGACTTTCGTAAGACGACTAGAATGAGTACTTGAATAACTGATCAGAAGTAACGAGTATTGAATCCAAAAGTAACTAGTCGGTACGAGTATTCAAAAATAATCAAATCTCACACCACTTCATGTTCATACTAACTAGAAACCTGTATTTTCAAAAGAAATAAGTTTGTAACTGTGCTACACTGCAATAGATAGCGCGCACTATTCAATGAATGAATTCATTCGATAGTGCCAATCACTAGTTTTAACTCCCCCAGAAGAATGACGCTGAGCTTGAGTCGCGTTGTATGCACAACGCACTAATAAAATAATAAAAGGTATAAAAGCGAAAAAACTGTAACTAACATTACTTCAAGCCAACTAGCATGCACTTTTTACCTTAAGGGCCGTCTAGATACCTCTGGGCCAGCTGGTTTTCTATTACTTTGCGGGACGGCACTTCGCTGCGAGCTGCTCACATGATTACTACTTAATCCATTAGAGGGATTATTGCTTGTGAAAGAGTTTGTTGATGACGGTTGTAAATTATCTAGAAAACAAAACCATAATTTAATTCAATACGTACAATCAAATTAATAAATTACAAAGAAAACGACATTAATTAGAAGAAAGCTAACGGTTAATTGATTAAGTGAACGGCTATAGACCTAATAATTATTAATATTCTAGCTCAAGAACTCAAAATATGCGTGTTTCATACACATAACAAAAGTTCTCAAAATAGTGCAGAAAGAATGCAAAAAATCTTGGTCCTACTTCAGACACATTAATGTAATTCGTGTCCCAAGGAATGCACAACTTAAGATTTCAACATTAAACAGATGCATTTTTTGCGTCGTTCTATGGAGTTTGATATACAAGGGCTGTCCGATAAGTACTTCACCTCGCCGCCCAATGGCGCCACAAATCGCCAGAGCGTTTTACAGTCGCGTACACATGGTTTTAAAGACAATCAAATGTTTTTTCGTACATATTACAATTACATTGCACGAAAATAAATAATTTCGGATTTTGTGCCAGGGATACCACGGAAGAAATACCAAAAAGGTTTTGATCGGTACCAGAAATGGTGCAGTGGACGAAAGCAACTCAACTTAACTTAGGATAAAAGATTATTAGTATATTTTAACAAAGTAAGCAAAATACATAAACCCTTATCCCTTTGGTGCTCGATGGTCTTTGCTTGCGTATCTTCCGTTCACTGCACCATTTCTGGTACCGATCAATAGCTTCTTGGTATTTATTTCTTCCGCACTAGTGCGGTAATTACTTAAAAAATCACTAGTGCGGTAATAAACATCATTATGGCATTTGGAAGAGTGCCAAATCATAGTCATTATATAACAATTATAGATAAATTAAATAAAAAGAGTCAGACAAAGCTGTTCTATCTGTTATCACGCAAAAGCGAAAATCCGCTGATGTGAGGAGAAACTCACTTTACTAGGAAATTTCTTGGACTTTCCAGGATTTTCCCAGTTACTAGGGCGAGGCGATTGGCCGTTGAATAACACAAATTTTCTGGAAATTTCCCGGATTTTTTTGGATACTACAGCGAAGCGGTAAATCGTTGGACAGCACTGATTTTTCAAAAATTCGCCAATGTAAAACCAAAAAATCCAGCAATCCAACCTATAATATAACTCCAAAGCAAAAGTTTAATATGAAATGCCTGAGAGTTTCCAGTATTTTTCAGTTAGCAATGGTGCGATTCTGTAATTCGTGTTTACATCGATGTAACTTTTACGTACTATATATTTAAAGTCCGCTGTAAACTTACAGCGGAGTTACAGCTGTGGTAAAATCGGCATTGTGTAACGTCTGACGGAACGAGGCCGGTTACAGCGGAATATTTAAGACTGTAGCTAACTTCAGTATGATAAAATTGTAAGTTGACAGTAAACATTTTGCGTTTTGAATAATTATTTATCATTAGGTAGCACGCAAAAGCAACAAATCAGACAAGTATAGCAAATTAAAAGCAAACGAAACTACTGGAGAATATTTCAGACAGCATGAATAATTTTGTTGACGCTTATAAAGAAAGTGAAATAACTGTAAAAGTTTAATTAATTAATTAAATTAATTAAGATTAAACTTCAAAAATGTTGTATTCATACAGCAATACAGAATTCCATTTTTGTTACATTTCTCGAGGTCAAGCAGTTACATCCTTTACAGCGCTTTAAATGTCATGGAGGATCGCAACACAAAGCGAAAGGATTAGCCGTTAAAAAACACAAATTTTTCAAAAATTTGACAAGAAAAACTCAAAAATCCGGCTCATATCACTCGAAAGATAAAATGCGCAGCTTTAAGTATGAAAAACGCACTTTAATCGGATCTTTCTGGGCGCTCCTTCAGGAGTTTTTGAGTTACAAAGGTGAGGCGATTGACCGTTGGTAAATAAGGATTTTTCAAAAGTTTGTCAAAGAAAAACGAAAAATCTCTCGAAAGAAAAAGTCCGCAACTTTAAGAGAGGAAAAACTCACTTTTATATGCAATTTCTGAAAGTTTCCAGGATTTTTCAGTTACTCAGGCGAGTCGATGGCCGATCGGAAACACGAAGGTTTCAAAAAAAAATCGTTAAGGAAAAACCGAAAATCCCTGAATCCATCTCATAACATCACGTGAAAACGAAAATCCGCTGAAGTGAGGAAACACTCACTTTAATAGGGAATTTCTGCGACTTTCTACGATTTTTTAAGTTACTCAGGCGAGGTGACCGACGCCATCGACCGTGAGTCACCCTGTATACTCAAGAAGAATAAATTAATTATGAGACATTCCGTATGTATTGAGGAAAGTAGATTAACTGACTGTCAGTCAAACGAGTTAATAGAGATCTTGAAAGAAAAACGAAAATGCCTCATAACAGAATATGTACGATTCTGCTGCTGCGTTCGTGGCTTCCATTCGTAGTGACGATATGACTTAAGTATAGTTGGCATCCCAGTGTGCCAAACCAGTTGGATTTAGCATTATCTTTAGCTTATAAAGCACAAGAATCCTGCCCTTGATTAAGGTGTGGTTAATATTGATTATCAAGACATTTCTTAGGGTATCGGCCTTGAGAAGGGTTCAAATAAAGTCTAGCCTTAGCGGATCAATTGCATATCCTCTTGTCCGATGTTGTCTGAGAACTAGGTGTTTTCGTTAAAGTCAAAGAAGATTGCACACTGATGAAGGAATCCAAATAAAATACACACGCTTAGTAGCATCAAAGCTTAGACTCTCATTTGCGATCGAAAGCATATTCTGCCTGCCTCATCATAAGCTTTTTGTTCGTACGTTCTTTAAAATGATCCTCGCAACAAAAAAACATTGATTTCGATTTAGGAACATCACGTCTAGCTGCTTTGAACCATAAAACTTTACGTGCATAATCATGAGGAAGGGTTAGAAAGAGTTTGTTTGGAGCACTTATTGAGGTATTCTTGCATCCTGGTACAAAACCACTTATTTTCTGATCCATACATGTCATTATTTTCCATTATGCAAGATGGTAATAATAATCAATAAATTAATGATAATCACAATAACTTAAATAATAAAACAAAGCTGCGAAAACAACAAAATAAACACGAGACACTTTGTTGATATGACCTGCTACGTCACAATCGGTATAGGCAACCGACGATACGGATACGGCGTTTTTGGCGTTAAATATCTGATTTGAATTTAAATTCGCTTTAAAATTATAATGGAGACTTTTTTGCAGAAAAAATTATCAGTGTATGTATGTTTGCCATAACTACTTTCTATATTCAACATTTAAAAAAAAGTGAAAATACCCTATTGTATTTGAGTTTGGTACTTTTTTTGCTTCCCTCAAGCTATACAATCAATCAAGTGTTTAGCTTGAGCTATTGTTTCTGAGTTTAATTGATTATAATGTGATTTGCCATTATATAATAACTTACTTTGGGACGGTTTAACGGCCGGCGGAATTGAATACGACGTTGACTTCATTAAACTATCACGCATTGACGGTAGGGCAGGTCTTGCTGGTTGAGACGATATGGAAGACTGCCTGGATCCCGATACTGATTGTTTGACTTTAACCTTACGTCCTATGTCATTTTGATTTGGTTTGATTTCTCGCGTGCTTAAACAGTATAAATTGTAAATGCATAAAATAAAATGCGATATTAGAAGTTTACCATTTGTTTTTATACTTGTCTTCCACTTCATTCATGCGATTCCTGGTGGCCTCATAGACATCATCATTAGCGTGAATGCGAATTTTATTACGTATTGAACCAAGGGAAGTCAGGGGTCCTTTTGGTGGTGTTCCACATATGCACTCAAAGCTACCCGCCGGACCTTCCATATCGGATGTTGTAGATGTAGAGAAATTAAACGTTGTTTGCCCAGATCCATTTTGTTGCGAAGGAAATGAAAGCTCCTGAAAATCATAATAATAATAATAATAAACGTGTAAACTGCAGCAAGCAAAAATTTCTCCTCAGAAATAAAGTCAGTATATATTTTGTTGTAATTACAAATTCCTATTTTTCAAGGTTTGTGTTAAGAGTTGGTCACTTTTTTTTCACCACTGTGCAGACCGAATTCCCAAGAAAAATCAATCGTTTAATTCAAAAAAATTGTAAAAGTGATGAACATAAAAGTTATTTGATTTTAGTCAATTTTTTTTAAACTGAATTTAAAATAAAACTGTCAAACATAGAAATTGTCAAAATTTGACATACTGTGTTTTTAAGTGAAAAACCCCATTTTTTTAACATATCAAAAATATTTTTTTCCTGATTCCAAAAATATATATTTTGCCTATATTTGATTAGCGGTTTTTCCCATATTACGGTTTGAAAATTATATATTTAAATTGGGAATATTTTGGACGACTTTATATTTTTATATCAAGCTCATCTGAAGCTTTTCGCTAAAGAACCGCATCAGATATGGAAATTTGGATTCCAGTATTCAATACAAGAAGCATCAGCTTATTGATTGTGTGGATTTGGTTCCGATTAAAGTTATAACAACGTGCATGAGTAAATTCTGGTGCAAGTTTACGCCGAATTTAATTTAAAAAAAGTCTTCTAAAGAATGAACACATTCGCACACACAGCAACACAAATTTGTGAAGGTTTGAAGATATTTTGATGCCATTTAGCACCTTAACATTACACAACACCTAACAAAGAAGGTCACCACATTTATTAGGAGCAACATTTTACCAAATGGGTGTCTCCAACGCAACTGCACCGGTGAGTTACTGTGCCGGTGCGTTGAGATAGCGCAACATCTCAGCAACACTGTGTCAACTCCTGAAACTTAACTGAGTTACCAGCGCCTATTACAGATCATGAATCGCCATTTTAAACTGTTAATACCCTGCAGAAATTTTGGAAATTTTTATTTTTTCTAGTACCCTTCAACTGAGCCCCTATCAGTCCCTCAAAGGAATGACGCCAATATTGAATCTTCCTGTATATCAAAGATTTATAATAGAAATAGACTTCGAACCCTCATCTATTTATACTATGTACTTTATTTCCAAAAAAAAATCCTCGAATATCAGTGAAATAAAAAAGTGCTCTGACCTTCAAACAGACTCATCAAAACAGAAATCATCAAGAAATCGATTGGAACAGTCTCTAAACTGACACAGAAAAAATTGCGCTGAACGTAAGCTTGAAAATTGCCAAACAATTCAACACAGAAAATGGGAAAAATTGCCGACGCTCGTACAAATAGTGGGTTCTGAACACACTAAAGAAATAACGAACATGTCGAAATATTCATATCTTTCTTTCTCTTTTTCAATTCAGTTAAAACTAGGATTTTGGTCAAAAACCTACATAAGGTTACTGATTTTAACAACTGCGCTTAAGACTAAAGAGCCCACTATATTAAATTTGTGGGCACTTTAAAAAAACTGCTTAATAAGAAAGTGGTACTTACCCCATTTTCTTTTCCAAGAAACCGTATTTTGGGATTCGGGAAATTCAATTTATTCTGAAAATAAAAATTCGATTAGTGTTTTTAAAAAAAAGCTCTAGATTTATTTGAAAATGCCGAACTTTTATCAGGAAATTAAGATTATCACTGCAAAAGCGGACGACGGGAGCTACCAGAATACCAATATTGCGCATGCTCATTCTATGGGAGAAGCGTCGGCGATTCCACCTAATGAAGAACAGCTTTGCGTCAAAAACCCGTCGCTATCACGTCGCCGGCGGCAACATCGGCTATACGCCAAAACAACCTCCAGCAAAGTTTCGAAGATCGATTAAACACAAAAAACCCACTTGAGAAAATCTTGCAACTTTATGATTTTGAAATAGGCAAGTGCAAATTTCGAAATGCGCTAACCTCAGGCACCCCCAGGACCGGTTTCGAGCCTATTAGCTCTCATCAACTGGGTTCAGCATGAAATTAGCAATTCGTAAGGTCTTAAGCCTGTGTCCTATGCATCCGGCACGATGATGATAGGAAAGTGTTTCTATTGGGTGGAGATCTGTCAATTCGTCCGCGGTCGTACGAAAAGACAATGTTTTTGATAAAACATTCTCACTTTTTGACGTACTATTCGAAAGTGCAGTAAAATGGTGTGGTTGCTATTTGATCTTATCAAGTTGGCCCCTGCCTACAAGGTCGAATAAGGTTTTTTTTCCTAACACGAATAAACTTTCCCTTCTCAGATATTAACTTCTTATTTGACGCAACTTATTGCTAAGAGCACTAATTTCCAAATATTTCAGCATTTTTATTAATTCCGTCTTATTTTACGGTTTATATATAAAAGCAAGCCTTTGGTGTTCCATTTAAATTAAGCAAGTTACTACCGTTCAAAACGTGCAATTGTTTGAACACAATAGAGTGTTTTCATTGTATCAAAAATTCCTACAAACTGAACATTGATCTATGGTTATATATATACAGGGTTGCTCATTAGTGCGTCAAAGTGCGATATCTCAGTAAATATGAAGTTTACAAGAAAATTCGTCCAACAAAAGTTTTTCACGTTTAAAA